CTACCGCTAATATAGCGGTATCGTCTGCAAATGTAGCTATAGTATTAAGATCTGAGTAGTGTAAATCACTGGTGTATATCAGGTACAGGAGAGGTCCTAGGACACTTTCCTGTGGCACCCCTGCTCTGATTTTTTTTATTTCAGTGAATGCTTCTTCTTGTTTTACTCTGAAGGCTCTGTCCGAAATGTAGGATTCCAATAGTTTCGAGTATTTTTGTGAGAGTAGCATATTTAGCTTATGTTTCAGCCCATTATGCCATGCCCTGTCAAAGGCCTGCGATACATCAAGGAAGATGGCTGAGCATACTTCCTTACTTTCCAGTGCTCTTTCAATCACGTCTGAAATTCTGTGTACTTGGTCTATCGTTGAGTGGTTTTCTCTGAACCCAAACTGATGATTTGGTATTATATTCCTTTCTTCGATGATGGGTTTCCGCCTTGTCAGGAGTATTTTTTCAAACAGTTTCGATATCATAGACAGTAGAGAGATTGGCCTATAAGATGAAACATCGTGAGAGGGTTTGCCTGGTTTATGAATCATTATGATTTCAGCTACTTTCCACATCCTACGAACATACCTTAATCTGAATGAGGCATTAAAAAGATGTGTAAGTTTGGATATAGCTTTTTTGGGGAGCTGTTTTAGCACTTTATCAGTAATTAAATCAAACCCAGGAGCATTCTTAGGATTAATGTTTGTTTTTTTTTCCTTTGCTACTTCTTTTGTGAACGTTGGTCTAATGTTCGTGCTATCTCCGTCAGAGAAGTCCCAGTTCGGCAATTCTTCTCCATCGTTTGGTTGGAAGATTTTTTCAAGATGATATGCAAACCTGTTGGCTTTCTGAGTATTGTTTCTAGCCCAGCTGCCATCTGCATTTCTGATTGGTGCGTTCTGTAGTATAGGGCTTTTTAATATCCTAGTGGCTTTCCAGACTGAGTAGTCAGTGCTTTTGTCATTTGTCAACTCACTCAGATAGTCACTAATGGATTCATTTTTTATTCTTTCTATTTCTCTCTTTAACTGTTGAGTGGCTTTATTGAGTACGGTTTTATCTGCTGGAGCTCTGGTCTGGTGCCATTTCCTCCTAAGTTTTCTTTTCTCTGAGATCAAGTGTCTTACTTCCATGGGGTATTTGTTTCCTTTTGTCCTCTTAACAATGGATGGGGTGTTATTCCATGCTGGTTGTTGACTTAGGGTAACAAAATTTTCCACTTCATCATCCAACTGTTCTATAGTTCTTAATGGAACACTTAAATTAATAGCATTTTCAAGTTATAATCTGAAACTTTGCCAATCTGTTCGCCTGTTTGTTAGTCTAGGAGAATTTTGTTTTTGGATAATAGAATCGCTAAGAGTCAGGAGAATGGGAGAGTGGTCTGAGTTCATGTCCCACGCCTTATCAACTTGAATATGGTTTGTTGAGATATTCCGCACAACAAAAAAATCTATTAGGTCAGGTATTTTATTTCTATCTGTGGGCCAATAAGTTGGTTTCCCAGTTGAGTGTCCTTCGCCTTTTACCTGTCTTATTGCTTCCATCAATTGTTTGCTTTTGGTTGTGGTTAACCTAGATCCCCAATGGGTGTGCTTAGCATTGAAGTTGCCTCCAATGATAAATCTAATTCCTTGGCTATTAAAGAAATCCATGTATTGCTCATGCTGTATGGCATGTCTTGGAGGACAGTATACGGATGTGACCATGACATCCTGAGATTTGGTTTTGATCATTACCGAAGTTGCCTGAAATTATTCAGTCCTGTATCCCATCTCTTGATGATGCATAATCGCTTCTCTTATTATCACTGCACTACCTCCTCTGGCTGAATTCTGAGGATGAGGGGTGTGGTATACTTTGTATCCCTAGAAACTGATAAAGGACTCATTGGTGAAGTGAGTCTCTGAGATAATATATATGTCTATTTTTTCTATGTCCAGGACTGCTTGCAATTCTTCTTTGTGTTGCAAGAGTCCATTGGCATTCCACTCTATAATCTTGAGGCTACTTAGTATTAAAAATTATTTGAGATAGGTTCTTTGGCCCTATATTCAAGTCTGCTAATCCGTTTATCCATTTTTATTAATTTCTCCATTATTTGTTCAAGAGAGTTTTGGATGGAAACGTTTTGGTCTTGTTGTTGTGTTTGATTTGTACTAATAATCAATTCAGGCTTACCAGTAACTGCTTGATTGTAGGTGTTTTGTCTTGCACTTATGATGCCTTTCTGCACTGGTACGTTATTCCTCTGTGGCTGCTGAGGACTGGTTTCTTGTTGCGTTTTGTATGGAGTTCATTAAAATTTATAATATTGTCCACTATGATAGGCGGCGGTGCTTGAATTTTTTTAGGCTTTTCTACATTCTACCTATTGGTTTGTTGTTGTGGTGGTGTAAGCGAAGTATCCATATTCCTTTTCTTCCAATTTTTTGTACGAATCGATTCTGTCTCCCTTGCTAACTCCTCTTCATTGGTATGATATTCACCTGTCCCTCTTTCTTTGGCTTTGCTAGGCAGTTTCTTTTCTATATTTGAATATTTTATGTTCAATTCTTCATACATTTTATGTATTTTATCCAACTGGGATTGTAGTTGTTCCACCTTGTATGTAGCATTCATTTTTTCTTGCTCAGGTGATTTCCAGCTATTGTATAAAATTTCGTCATTTTGGGTACGTTTATATTTTTCTAATAATATCTGGCTTGTTTGCATTGCTGGGGACTGGGGACTAATAAAATACATTTCCTTTATCAGTGTTTTTTTAAATATCTCGCGATAACTTAAACGACTTTGGCACGGTCGCCGGACACCACTCGCCGAGGATGATATCCTTTAATATCAATTTTATTCACGATAAGAGAGCGAACAAATCACTTGTTCACTGTTCAAACGTAGAAAACTACACATGTAAGTAAAATAGTAATTAAAAATATTTAAGTATCTGAACAAAGAATTCTAGCCTCTTCCCAAATTTGATTGTCCTGACTTGTTTTAAAGTGTTGCAATTGTGACGTATTTTAGTGTGTGATATGATGAGGCTGTTGACGAACTGTGATTTGCGTGTTTTTTAAATTAGTGAATTTTTTTTTAACTATCTGTTGTTTTAGAAAAACTGATGATGGTGGAAAAATAGACCAAAACGTATTTTAATTGATAAATAGAAACAATAAATGACTGAAACCTAGGAATTAATTTTGATTTGGAATTAATATCAATATCACATGCATATAACTTTCTTCCTTCCTTACTGATCGTTTGAAATGTGGATTTCTATTCATCTTCCTTGTTTACTGGTTGTCAATATTGCGCGCAGAAAAAAAACGAAGGAGTTACCGAATCGCATTTAAAGTTTATCTAATGTGACAGAGACACATAGGTCGCAGTGCCTCTAAAGCACTCCGCTTTTCCGCGGGGAAATAAAAGCGCTCTCCTTTCGAAACTTTTTGGGTTTAGCTCTGAAAAATTGACAGCCGCGTTGAACGCTTTGCCATTTGGTATTAAATCAAACGAACTTTGCAGTGCGACAAAACTCACTCTTTCGTTTGAAGTATGATCAACTTGAAGTCTTAGATTACCTTAAGTTAGTCCGTAATAGAAATATACAGTTTAAGTATAAATTTATACAGGTACGTTGTCAGAAAATGTTGTTACCGCACATATTAATGATCTAATCTAGTGATCATAAAACAATTAAAAAGGCAGAAAGCACACAGTTTCTCTGAACGTGACGAAAATGTAGCAGGAATGACGAATAATATTCGTCTAATTGGAGTTAGTATCAAAAATTGAACTGCTAAGCACCGACATTCCTGCTTTCGAATTTCCTCTCCTATTTATGAACAAAAACTGTTTTCTGAAAATAAATAACTCTCGTTTTATTCTATTCTTGTAAGAATAGATTCAAATTTTCAAAATTCGTTGTCGCTCTATATCTTCTAACTTTGCGGAAGATCAAAGCATGGAACAAATAGCTCTTGTGCATTTTAATACGTTTAAAATATAGCGTATGTTTTTAGACATAACGCTATTATTACTACCCAGCAAACACACCTCGGTCCCTGAGACGTCCCACGGAAGTCATTACAGGATATAGGCCTAAGTCGTTAGGACGTCCCGGAACGTCCCCATTTTTACGTGGGAAGTCCATGGGGCATACTTTTGGGACTGTTCGGGCCATGTATGGGATGATCCTGTAAAGGTCAATTGGGACATTACTGTTATTATAGACGAGTTGTTTAGAGAAAATATGTGAAACGTTCTTAGGTTAATAGTCAACCGTCAAATTATTGCTAGGAACAAATATGTATAAAGTAAAAAAAAAACTTTCTGAAAACGGTGAAGGCAATTTTATAATTTAGAAAATTTAGGTTGGAAGATATTTAAAAGAAACAAAATACTGAACCAATAACACATACCTCCCCATACTTCAAAACGAACCAAAAACGTTTACGTATGGTATCAAACTAAACTTATTTTTGCTATGCTCTTCTATCTGAAACTGGTAAATTTAGTTTTTCCTTTTCAGTTTTTCCGGCGCGTTCCTGAGCCAATTTTGAGCTTCAATTTCAATGTCTTTTCGTGTTGGTATAAATAGCAAATTTTTGAGCAAACCATCTGTAATAAAAAATATATATTTTATCATTTATAAATCCAACTAAAGGTTCTTCAGCGATTTCTACTTCAGGCCTCGCCACCCATGTTAGAACATGTTCACTAAGTCTATTCGGATCACATCGAGGGTGAGGCAAAATCAGATTCTTAAGGCCCTGATTAGAATGTTGGCCTCATTAGAACATTGTAAACTATTTCATAATGTACTCGTTCAATATTCATTTATTTAATGGTGATATAAAGACTTCGCTTAATTTTTAGGGTATTAAGCATGGCTTTACGTTCGAAAGCATGAAAATTATAGCATACTTCTATACATATAAACGAATATCATACATGAAAGTGATAAAAATATAATTTAGCTACTTCCTTTGTCTGTAATAAAACAATAACACGTACGGAAAATCAAAACGCAGCAACTAAAATCTGCAACAACGAAAGCATGGACAAGAGACACCTAACCAAAGTTATCCGCCTCTTTGGCGTCTTTAACATGACATATGATTCATATGAAGAACTGTGAGACATGACAAAGCAGAGACAAGTAATAATTATGCCTTGTCTCTGTTAAAAGCCTGGGTAATCGGTTTAAATGATATGTATATTTTGTACATATGTATGATTTTGTTATGTGAAATGACTGTGTGATGGTATATACTTTATGAAGTGTGTAATAAAGTGTATAACTTTTTTGTCGAGCGTGCCTTTATTATTACGTATACGTCCTGTTCCTTACGTTCCTGAGAGCAAAAATAGAACGTTTCTGGGACGACTCGTATGGGATCTACATGCGATATTTCTGCGATACGAGGACGGCCTAGGGACATCCTACCAAGGATCATCCCATGCGATAAATAAAAAAAATCCAAAATGGAACGTCCCACGGACCATTTGTGTTTTCTGGGATATTATTCACAAAAATTATACATATCACAATCTAGCTCCCGATCGGCCTGCTCGCCCAAATATATAAGTTTTTGAACAAAATAAATACCACAAGGTTACATGCCAGACTGGATACCTATCAACCGAGAGAACAGGCTGGCGTTAGGTCCGGATTCGGAACTCACGATCACCTCTAGTTTATGAAGAACCTGATTGAAAAGCCGCTAGAATATAATAAATCGCTAGTTGTAGTGGTTCTGTATTACGATAAGGCTTTCTACACGGTAAACCAGCATGAGATGTTAAAATCATTATCCAGCTATCCTAAATTAGATTTAACCGGCCGTGAAAGCCCTCATAGTCTGATAAAACGCCTCTACGGGGAGGATACATCGAGACTGATTCGACAACTAGAAAATCTGCGTAAGAAGAAGGCGCACCTCCTGTGTTCACCTTCTTGAATATGAAGAGGTACTTCAGAACCAACCAGGCCAAGAATAGATATTCTCTATATATATCTACAACCGGGCGGAACGAGCTCTTTTAAGGGAACGGATACATGAAACCCGCCGAGATCTTGCACATATTGACAGTAGATTCTTACCTGTCAATATAGAACCAGCCAACAAAATGTACTGGATGCATTGGGAAAAAGTGGATAGATTAACAGCTGACCGAATGATGGTGCACGAAGCAGTAGCAACTAATCGCCAAAAGAAGAAGTTTGATGCGCTGATGGAACAGCTTTAAGGATCCAGCAAAACAAGACCATCACTCGAGGAGAACCAATGGAAGATTGTAGTCAACTTGACCAGCAAGGAACTTACTGGTGACGAACAAAGCGTGCTGGCCAAGGGAGGAAACTTTGCCATTGTACCGTCCAGGTTACCAGTAGAGGACATCATATCAAATGTAGAGAGTGGGATACGTTCGCTGCCCATTCAAACCGCAGAACAGATAAGGGCCGAGACTTCAAGAATGTTACAACGCTCAAAGCCTCCGAAGAGCAACCTCACTTTCAGTAAAAGAAAAGCCCTGAAAACGCTGAATGAGGATAAGGAGATTCTCGTGTTGCCAGCTGATAAGGGCAATGTAACTGTGGTCATGTCTTCATCGAACTACGAAGACAAAATTTACGAACTTTTGACCTCGTCAACGTACAAGAAGTTGACACGGGATCCGACGGCACGGATACTAAGAACAACTAACAAATTAATTAAGGATATGACATTTCCATCCGAGGAGTTGGCAAAGCTCAAAAAATCAGAAGCACTCCCACCAAGGCTCTACGGACTGCTCAAGATCCATAAACCGGATGTACCACTGAGACCCATTGTGAGGGGCCCATCTTAAAGATATTACCCGAGACTCACCAGAGAGGCCATCGAAATATTTAAACACCAAAACAACTTAAACAGAAAATAAGAAATTACGGCTCACAATCCGGATTGGAAGCGCGTTTTGCGCCAAAGAGTGTGTGCCCCGAAGCATTTGAACCCCCACCCATCCCCCACCCATGAGCACACACGGCTGGGCTGCATAAATACGACGGGGAATCCAGCAATTCAACCAGTCTTAGTCGGAAAGTACGGGAAATCAGTTTGCCCACTGCCTCATCGCCTTTGATAATGTCCACCGCAGTTGTGGACGAAGCGTCTCGAAGAAATTCCCATAGACCACGGCTTCAAAGCCCGGAAAACATTCCTAAATGTGATTTAACCGGCCGTGAAAGCCTTCATAGTCTGACATTATCCAGCTGCCGGATAGGCCATCGTTATACGACGCTTATAAAACATATATATGACAAAGCTACATCATCTGTTAGACCTCAGGAAAGTACAAACTAATTTTCGATAAGAAGAGGCGTAAGACAGAGCAATACCATCTCACCCAAGCTGTTTACTACTCTGTTAGAATAGACGTGTAAGGGGATAGAGTGGGAGGAGATCGGAGTAAATCTAAACGGTGAACAGCTTAATCATCTCAGATTTGCTGATGACATAGTCTTTATCACGGACAGTATGAACTACGCAGTCCCAATGCTGCGACTCGATGTTAACTCACTAAAGGTAGGATTAGAAATCAGCATGATCAAAACTGAAATCATGACAAATATTGTGCTTGGTGGAGATTGCTTGGAGAAATAATAAATAAACAACCCTGCCTGTAAAATGCCTATAAATATGTGGGACATGAAATCCGCATCAGCAGAGATAATCAAACATTCGAGCTTGCTCATAGAATAGGACATGGGCTCTTTGACGAGCTTAAAGGCATCTTCAAATCGACACTCTCACTATGGCTAAAGAGAAGAGTTTTCAACCAATATATCCTACCGGTGCTAACACATGGTGCGTGCGCAAACCTTAACACTGACGAAACAAATTGTAATGAAAATCAGAGTGGCTCAGTATGCAATGGAGTGGTCAATATTGCGATTATCCTTAAACGATCTAGTGCCAAGATTTGAAATCCGCAGACGAACCGGGCTGCAAGATGTCATATAAACCTGCATGTCATAACCAGGATGAAATCGAATTGGGCAGAACATATCGCAGAATAACGGATGATAGATGAACAAAACGCATTACGGAATGGAGTGGAGGACAACCCCCCAACTAGATGGTCAGAAGATCTGAGACGCATAAGTGAAGACTGGCTCGGAACCGAACTTTGTGGGTGAATTTACGGGAGGCAAATGTTCAGCAGTGGACTAGGATAAACTGATGATGATACTGAATATCTTCTTTACCATTCTTGTCTATATAGTATTATTTAAAAGTTGCGATATACGGGGTATCACTGTATATATGTATAAAAGTAAGTTCTGTCCAGCAAGAAATGCGACTCAAATTAAGTAGCACATGTTTCCTTATAGGACAAATAAATTATTATTCGAGTGACTGCATCTGTAATTTTTTACATACAATTTAAAATTAATTAACGCGTAGACTTATGCATTGAATATTATACATGCAAATTATTAAGAATTTCAAGGAGAATTCAAAAATGTTATAATATGTATATTATCCCATTTGAAATAAGCAAATTGATACATACTTCCGGAATAACCGAATACGTGGCCATCTTGAAAATATTTTGGATGGCTTGGCCCGAATAACTTCGGCTCACTGTTCAATTTTCAAATTTTTCTTAAGGACCGTTTGCCAGATATCGATCTCAGCGGTTTTCGGTGGGACACCCTGTATAAAAGGTGATTCAAAATTGGCAACATTCCTCTGGAGGTGTTTTAGGAGTACAGAAAAAATAGTAAAAAAAATTGTTCTTAAAAACTGAGAAATATTAGGAAAACCGCAACAACGTTTTTCAAGATAATCTGCCTAATTAACATTACGTAAATACCTGTGGCGTAATTATTTAAAAATCTGGTAACCATGGCATTATACAGAAAAAGACAATAAGATAGACAAGGATAAACGGCAGACTCAACGGGAACGGAACCTATTTCGAAACTCGTAACCTCGAATTATTAATTTGTTTACAAATTACAAAAACATACATTTGTGTCTGTAGTCTCCTCGCCCTTTCTTGGCGTGAGTTCTTTCAGCTTCTGCTATGTTACTGTAGCATTTCTCTTGAACTAATCGTATATCCGCAAATTCGAGAAAGGAAATTCAAAGTGAGTCATAGTTTGACAAATTATTGTTATTATTGGCAAGGGCTATCCACCTGTAACTATCTGTTGATGATAAAAACCATCATTGCTTATTTGACTTTTCATCAAGAATTTGTGGGAGATAACTTTTCAATATCAAAAACTTTCGTGAATTGAAGCAAAAATCGCAGTTTTTCTTTTTGAATGCTTAAGTATTCCAATATGCTTCCAATTAAACATGAAATAATTTCAAAGTAATGCTTAATAACAAAGTTGAAATTCGCTTTTCAACTGTTAATATCTTCAGAAATTATCGAAAATTCTGGTACTCTCCAAGTGAGCCCCTATTACCCCTTAAAAGGAATGACGCCAATTTTGAATCACTCGGTATATTCTCACTATAGAATCGGTAGATGATGATAACTGAAAAAATTGGCAATGGAAAAAACACCCTTATCGAAGGAACTCATAACAAAAAATTTTCAGTCATAATTACTAAAATATATTTAATGTTAAACTACAACAAAATGGAAATGAAATAGTATTTGCTGTACTGTAAATATTGTTTTGTGATACAGGTGTTTCTCTTTAAGCAAAGCCTTAAGTTGAGCCACAAATTTATTCAAAAATATACTTGCCTATCAAGTAGAACGTAAGACGGTACGGCGAAATTAAAAAACATCTTTGCATAAAGCAATAAATACAGGCGGCTGACTGACGTGAGACATAAAATACTCGTTTTAATTTATTATGCTGTTGTACCGCCACAACACAATATGCTTCTCCTCAGAAAGGATATTAAATTCTCATCACTTTTTAATTTTTCCATCCAGTCAGGATCGTTTCTTTACTAGACTTTGTTCGCCTGCTGTCGTTTATGGAAGACGAAGGGTGACTCCATGCTGCTCGAAGATTTAATAAGGGAAAACAAACATTGAAAAATGTGAAAGTTTCAACAGCTTTCAGTCGATTTTTTAGGCTGAGCGCTCATAGCATCCATCTTAATTTTTTTCACGCGGACAGTTTTTAGCTTACTCTGTGTTCTAAATGCCAGTAAGTATCTTGTGAAGTAGACAAACTGGCTCCCATCCATCCTTAAAATGGAGAAAATACGATTAGTTGACAGCTTAAACTTTTTTATACTTGTATACACTGATATTAAATGTATAACCGGTCACCTGATATGAGA